AAAAAAAAAAAACAAAACAGGGCTCTTTAATAGGAGACATGGAGATCAGGGAAAGGAGGTAGGCAGGCGCCTGTTAGTGTGGAGCCAGAGGCTACTGCTAGAAAATTATGGGAGATAAAGGCCAGATGAGATAGGGAAAAAGAGGACTCCAGGAGAGGCAAGCTTTTGAGAAGAGCTACACCGCACATACACACACACACACACACACACACACACACAGGATACACACACATCCCAGAGCAGTTAAACTTTAATCAGGGACATTAAAGGATCAACCCAGATCAAGGCTGGGTGGAGAGAGACAATATAGAGTAACAATAGCCTCCCTCTCTTCTCCCCTCTCTTTACCTGAAATCAACCAAGTCCCTTATGTGCAGTAACTTTTCCAGGACCCTGCAAAGAAGGCCTTGTCCCCCCTTTAAAGTTCAGGAAAACCTGTCAGTGCACTCCTCATTTCCTTCATGTGCTGTAAGGAAAAATGTCTCAAGAGAACTGTCTGGACTTGTGTCTGTTCTTCAACCCGCTCCATCCTCTCAATCCCTCCTGAGCCCACTCCACCCCAACAACAGCTCTCCTCGGGATCCTCAGTGCCCTCGGGTCATTGAGTCCCAGGACCAGTTCTTGATCTCAGCTTCCATGGCTTTTCAGCAGTGTTTGAAGCCATTGACCAGTCTTCCTCTCTACTCACATCTGGGATGCAACCCCCTTCTCAGTCTCCTTTCTTAGTACATTCTCATCTCTCGGGCCCAGTCTTCTGCTCGTTCATTTTCCTGCTCCTCATCAATCTCACCCACTCTCCCGACTTTAAAATCTGCTCTTTATTTCCCGCCCCCCCCCCCTTCTGCTCTTCTCTTGCCTGGCCCTCTCCCGTGGACTACAGGCTCTGACATAAAACTGCCTGCTCATGACTCCCTCCACAGAGCTCTCTAACAGGCACCTGGAATTTAAATAGATTCAGAATGGGGCCCTTGCTGGTGGCACAGCAGGTTAAATCACAGCACTAAGAAGCTAAAGCCACTTCAGCATGAGTTCAATTTCTACCTGCCCCAGAGCTGACCGACATGGCGAGGCAGACCTCTCCTGACCCGCCCGCTGCTCCCCTCAGCAGTGTACTTTATCGGTCAGTCTGTTCTGCTCCCCACTCTGTCTCTGGTGAATCCTCTCACTGCCCCTGCACCTCTGGCCTGTACTCCAGTTCTATATGCATAAATAAATAAATCTTTTAAAAAAATAGATTCAGAATGAATTCATCAGTGTACCCCCAGGACTGCTGCTCCCACGGACTCC